TTCTCTTTCCAGTGGCCAGGGGCTCTGCTCAGAGGCTCAGGAGCGCATGGGCACAGCTGTGTGCCTTTCCTTGTGGCGGGCTCTGAGCTGGCCCGAGAAGCCCAGAGTAGCCGTTAACTCAGCTCCCATTCTGGGCACTTCTGAGTCTTTGCATCAGGGCCTGGGTATCCCCTGGGGAAACTCAGTCCTCAGCATTTTCTGTCTGGTCTGCTTTCTAAGGCCTCTCCGAGAGATGCTACAGCAAAGTGATTTTCTGGCCTTCATCTTGTGTTCACAGGCTCATGGACGCGCCTGCGTTTCTCTTCATCTATGACGTAGCTGCAAACCGCCCGTCTCCCACGTGGGAGTGAGTGAAAGGAGGCTCAAACGCCCCAGGGTATGACTGCCAAGTCCAGATTATTCACAAGACTCAGGCTCATTTTCAATAAGGGAGAAAAAAGAAGGGAAGGAAAGGACCCGTGTATTTTCTAGAAATATGCCAGTTGCCAGGAAGCACCTGATTGAGTTGTCCAGATGAGGAAATTAAGACAGAGGTTGCCCAAGATCCAACAGCCAGGGAGCTGGTGGCTGTGGCTGGAACCCAGCAGGTTCGCTCCAGAGCCCAGACCCTCCAGTGAAGGCCTGTGTGGCCTGTGAGCACAGCTGGCTCTGAGTTCAAGTCCTGCAGCTGCCCTGTTGGCAACGGTGCTACATCAGGAAAGCTGAGTCCCCCTAGCCCCATCCCTATCAGGTTCTTTGCCTGGATATGAAACAGTCTCCCAGGATCACTTTGGGGGAGGAGACGATACAGCTGGCAAGGACAAATGACTCCAAATCATCTTTTCTACACCAGGAAGAAGGGGCAACTTTCAAAGGGTTCTTAATTAAGTTAGCCGTGGTAATTAAATTTCCGCTCTATTATTTATATTAACATAGAGGGAAAAGGGGCATCTTAATGTTGCTTTAATGAACCAAGAGACAGCCTCCACTGCCTGCCAAGCTGAGCATCTGCGCCCTGGAGGCATTATCTTTGTTTACGGCCCAGCAGGCTGCTCTCCTAGCTCAGGGCCTGGGGGCCTAGCTCGGGGTCTGGGGGCCCATCTCGGTCATGAAGACAGCTGGAAGAACCCAGAGTCCACACTGGCATGGCTGCCCTGAAGCAGCAATGAAGAGCAAGTTCTTTGTATGCCTGCCCCTTGTAGTTAATAATGCCAATTAACGTGTTATTTACCACAATTTTTACTTTTCTCATGTGAAATCTCTTTTTGGTAGATAGGATTTCTTACATCTGATACACGTAGTATCTGGATTTTACATTTGCATGGCTCTTGGTGTTACCCACCACACCGTCCCATTTCTGTATGTGGTAGCACATCCTTGCAGGAAACCCAAGGAAAACCCTACTGTTAGCCGGTGGTCAGGAGGGAAGGGGCTGGCCAGGTAGGCCCCCAGGTGGCTGGGGGAGTTCAGCTTTATTTCCATCTGACAGGGGAGCAGGGCTTTAGAATACAGTCTCTGCTCTGTAATGGGAAGAGAACATAGAGCTGATCACCACCCTGTTCTCTTCCAAACACACTTTATAAGCACTCAAAGACATCGAGTTTCTAAGATCACCCATGATTTATTTAAATGGGACACTGACATTTCTACCACCAGAGAGAGCTGAGGGAGCTGCACTGTTCCTGTTACATGAGGGTGTTGAATGGTTGACCCCCTCCACCCCTATGATTAGGCAATCGTAATAGAACTAGAGGCCCAGGGCAGGAAATTTGTGCTCTGGGGGGCTGGGGGTCCCTCAGCCCAGCCTGTCCCCTCTCACACATCTGGGAACTCCCAGGGGATGTCCTATGAACAGCTTAGGCTGCAGTCTGGCCTTCCTCTGCGGGAGGCAACTGGCTGATCAGGGAAAGGCAGCACCCCCATCCCTCTACTGCTGCTGCCACTGCCAGCCACTGTAGCTGCCAGTGTTTTCATAAACACAGACTCCAGTCCCTTCACCATGAAAAAAATGACAACTTTCATTAGGCATTTTTAAGATGTCTCTTTCATAGGCTATGACCTTCCTTCCTTCCTTCCTTCCTCACCTGAGGATATTTCCCCATTAATTTTTAGGAATGTGGAAGAGAGGGGAAGACAGAGAGAAACATCAATGTGAGAGGAACACTTCGATTGGTTGCCTACTGCATGAGCCCTGACCTGGACCCTGGCCAGGGAGGAGCCTACAACCTAGGTACATGCCCTTGACCAGAATCAAACCCAGATCCTGCAGTCCACAGCCTGAGGCTCTATCCACTGAGCCAACTGGCTAGGGCAGGACATGACATTTTTTAGCCCCTCCAGCAGCCGACCTTTATTTTTTCCTCCAGGAATGAAGTAAAAAAAACCATAGATCATCTTCTCGGATTCTTATTACCCAAGTTATCCAAGTGGTGTACTGGGAGCTTAGCCAATGAGCTGTCAGGAAAGATGTTTCCTCTTCAGCTCAGAGGCAGGACTGCTGGTACACTGTGGCTGGAGCAGCCTCAGGTCCCCCTGTCAGTGTTGGCTCTGGAGTGGCCCCCTGTCAGTGTCTGCTCTGGGGTGACCCAAGCTGGTGCGGCAGCTCAGGCAAGCCCCCATCTCTGTGTCTGCTCTGGGCCTCACCTGCACGAATAACCTCCTCCTGACCGGTCAGGACTGTTACGGTGTCCCAGCCTAATTTGCATATTACCTCTTTTATATATAGATGACTCTGATAAGCTGCATCTTTATTTAGTGGGTTCCAGCTCAGTGCTAGCACAGTAATAAGAACTCGAAGTTCAAGGTGGGGTCAGAGACAGGGATCTGGACCAGCCCTTTCCTTGCAGAAGCTCCCTACCCTTCCTGAAGAGGGGAGGCGTGGGAGAGAAGGCCCGCAGAGACAGGAAGCATTGGTCATAAGACCTATCATCCAGTCTATTTAGGGCCGATGCTCACATCTGCGGCCTGACGTGGATGTTTCCTGAGGGACGGCATCCCACTGAGAGGCACAGTGAGGGCCGGGGCGCTGTGGGCTGCAGTGAGCGGAAGGATCCAGGCTGGTCAGCATCGCTTAGCGTTTATACAAGCAAATGTTCTGTCACTGTTCTGTGAGTCATCTGTCTTTGCCACTTCATGCTGCTGACAAAAAAGTAAAAACTCGGATTCCCATTTGAAATCTTAGGAAGGCAAACCTAAAACCCACGGGAGTTAATGCAGAGAGGAAATCTAAGGCTAGGGTTTCCTCCCCTCTCCTCTCCCTCCTTCCTTCTCTCCCCCTCCCCTCCCCTTCTCTCCAAATATTTATCAGGTATCCCATTGGTGTTACCTTAATTACTTGATGTTCAGTGTCCTAAAACGATTTAAAAATACATATATCTTCCTCAGTTATTTTAGTTGTTTCAGGTAGGAGGATAAACAGGCTCTTTGTTAATCTAGCATGTCTGGGACTGGAAGTCGCTCAGAGAATGGACTGGACATTTTTCATAAATCCCAAGAATGAGGATGGCAGGAATAAAGCAGAGAAAGCTAGCAGTTGATAAACTAAGGTTCCCAGCTGTAAGACGGCTCCATAAGGAAACCTACTGTTGGGAGGATCTGCTGCCACTCGGGAAAGCGCCCTGTACAGTTTCTGGCACAGAACTGGTGTCTGAGAAAGGTTGTCCCCACCAGCTACTGGTCGTCATTTAGCACAGCCCGGAACTCCGTTTATTCCTGGTGGAAGTTCACGGCACAGCGTCTCCCTCCGTCAGAGGTGGGGCCGGGCCCTGGACCAGAGCAGAGCAGAGCTGGCTGCCTGCAGTGATTTTCCTTCCCAGCAACTGTTTAGCTTTGTGTTCTGTTAAGGGTACTCCGATCTCATAACCCTTTAAAAAGTGTTCCCTCTGCAAGTTTCAGGTGTGAACAAGGCTTGTCGAGGACAGATATTACCCAGGGAACAGGTAAAAAAGAGGAGGAGAGGTGGCTCCGGGTCAGAAAGTCTCCGCCCTGGAACTGCCTGCCCCCCAGGTGAGAATTCATGACCCGGGCAGACTCTGGGGCTGTGTTTCCTCAGCGCCAGGGGAGGCTCCCCGGATGGGCCTAGGTTTCTCGCTGCCAAAAGTTCTGTCCCCCAAATTTTAACTCAACCTGCTCCAGGCAACAGTTTCTGTGTATAATCTCTCCGCCAGTGACCTGGAGGGACCGTAGCTGCTTCCGCCGGGCGCTGGGACGCTAGCAATACACCACGACTGGTCGCTGGTCTATCTTTATTGAACTGAGAATTCACACAAGGGAGCATCATACAGTCAGCCATTTCCTGGGCTTCATAAAAATGATTGTCACTCACTGCGCTTCACAAAATTTTCTTTTTAATGAATAAATAATTTGATGAAATCAAAAGTATTTACAATATAAACACGCGGAAAAGCTTTCGATCTGTGAATCTGATCGCTGAGCTTTGCACTTTTGAACTGAATTCCTCCCCAGTGTCTCCCTTAGAAACAATATAAATCTGATAGAAACAACAACTCATACAACATGTCTTTGTTCATTATATGTTTATCTGTTAGTCTTGGAAAGCTACATTAAGCTTATATTATGCAACATATTAAAATACAAATATTAACTAAAAATAATATATTATCATAATGCCAGGTAGCATTCTCCACGGAACAAAAAAATGTACACTCAGCTGTAACAATAACAAAGGTTCACGGGTCACAAAATAATACCCCAAAGGTACAAATTCCTTCATAAGAATATAATTGTGCTCTTCAAGGCGCCAGCTGTCTGTGCTGCTCTAACAGGCGGGCGCCCAGGGGTACAGCCTCGGACGACTGTAGCTGTGTGTGCTTTCCGCCCGGCAGCAGCATCGCTAGGACGTGGGCAGTGCAAGCGGTTTTATACATCCTCTGGCTCTTAAAAAGAGCCAAATGCTGCAAAGCAAAATAAGCACATCGCGAGTCCTGATCTCATCTTCACAAACGCCTGGGGAGCTCTTGGCTTTGTGGGATGACAGGTCGGTCTGCAGCGCTGAGATGCCGTCAGCCAGAATTCAAGTATTCCAGGGCCACCTCGTAGCAGAACTTGTACTGGTCCTGGAACAGGGAAGGGAAAACATGTCAGCGCTGCGGTACCCGAACGCTGCTTCTAGTTAAGCAATGATGCCAGATGAGGGGTTTAATTGGAAGACGTCAAACTGAGAAGAAGGATCTGAATCAGCAATAAATGAGAAAGTCATGGTTCTGAACCACAAATGTATCCACTGTTGGTAGATGTTCCCACGAGGCCTGATGAAAGGTATTTTGATATCCACACTCACTAGAATTCCTGGGAAGTTCTAGATAACTGGAACACACATATATATGTGTTTGTCCCATACACGCATGTTTACCTGTACATCAACAGGCTGAGCACAAAGCAAGGGAAGATCATGAGCCAGAAGGGAAGATAACGAGTGCTGGAGGCAATGCCTCATGGCTTGCTCACAGAAGGCCCCAGTAAATAAACGAGGCTTCCCTCCTGGCCCAGCTTAACCTTTGCTGTTCGGTCAGCTGGCTTCCCTCCATTTCATGAGGAGTTTTTAAGTACCTCTTAAGGACCACGCACCTCGACCTGGGCTCTGACTTTGAGAAGTCCATGGTCCAATGAGGAGGATGAGACAAGCGACCCATGACAACCCATGAGGCAGAGCTGAGCAGGGCCCGTGAATGGTCCTCCGATGTGGAGGAGAGAGTGGAACCTCTTAAGGAAGATCTGGCGAGAGGCAGTAGGTAACAGGAGGGAGAGGGTGAGCTTGTAGAGCTGGGATAGGAGTTAATGTGCCTTGGTTTGCCCCAGACAGAACTGGCTTTTGCCTGTTGTCTGGGCATAAGCATTAGCAGCGTTCTCTTTTACTCTGAAAAGTGTCCCGGTGTGAGTGAGTACATGACCATCCTAACTGGCATTAAGACAGGCATTCCAGGTAGAGGGGACAGGATAAAGAAGGGCACCGGGAGGAAATGTTTGACACCCTCCGGGAACCACATGCCAGCTCTCCATCAGGCAGTGACTTCATTTTTATGAGCACTGCGTTCTCAGGTCATGGACCTGAGGTCCTGGCCCACGCACGTGGGGTCTCAGGTGGCGGGGAAGGCATCCAGCTCCTGTGTTGGTGCACAGTGCTGATGGATGCTCGCTGGGTGAGGCCTCTGAACAGAGCAGAGGGACCCAGGGGTTGAGGATGCAGCGGCCCAGGAGGACAGAGGGGCTGGCAATTGTAAGGCTCTCTTCCCAGCTCAGGAAGAGTCAAACTTTTGTGAGTTCTGAGAGTCAACACCACTGTCTCATGGCTCAACACAATGCTCACAACCAAGGACATGGGTCTTTTATTTGCCAAATTCATTACAAATACATTTCTACCTTTTAAAAAAAATATGTCTCTGATTAGTCACTACAATGTCCTTTTCCTCACCCATTATTTGTTCTCTAAAGGCCCCAACTAGTCCAACCTGTGTATTGGAAGACAAAAGCCAGCATACCAGTCTTTGTGCAGAACCTGACATACAGTTGTGGGGGAGGGGCACATGTTGGTCTCTATGTAAATGATGACAAAGGGCTCAGCAGCACTTGATACAACTGAGCAAACAGGAAAGACTAGAGACCGGGGATTTTCAGGCACAGTCTCGGTCCACAGAGAGCTTACAATCTAAAGATCATTTCCATACACTGCCGGTGCCACAAGATCAAACACCAGTGGCAGCAACACCTGCCAGGATGGCTCACAGAAGAAGAGAAAGACAGGAACACACATTGGGGAGGATGTGGGGAAGCGGGAGCCCTCACACTCTTGCTGGTGGGCATGCAAACTGGCACAGTCACTTTGGAAAGCAGTCTGGCAGCTCCTCAAAAGGCCGTAGAATCACTCCATAGTCTCAAGGAATATGCCCAAGAGAACTGAAAATAGTGTCTAAACAAATGCATTGTGACTCACAACACAGTATTTTTAATTTCAGGATTCGATACTTTTAATTTCAGAATATTGAAAAGAAATCACTTGAATTTCAAAAATTCTGATGTTGGCAGATCACTGAGCTGGCCTCTTGGCTATAAAGTGCTCCAATGAGTTCTGTGTGTGTGTGTGTGTGTGTGTGTGTGTGACACCTCCGCAGTGACACCTCTGCCCCCCCAATAAAATTCCCCAATGAAATTTTAAGAGATCCAATTCCTTATTGGATAAAACAGGATTTTGTACACACCTAATTGTGCAACTAACGTCAGTGCCTATTATGAACCCATTTCTTTTAACATGAAAATATTAACATTTCTTTCATTTAGTGGGAAATGTAGCTGCTGGCCTCCAGGCATGCACTGGAAGGAAAGGGCTTCGGGCTCTGCTGCCAGGGGCTGCTGTGTAGGTCACGGAGGGGGTGCTCTGTAGGCATGACTCTAATTTTCAAAATGAATTCTCTCTCTCTCTCTCATCATCTCCCTCCCAACCAAGCGGTTAACCCCCACCGATCCTGTGACGACTGGCGTCTGAATCACAAAAATAAGAGGAAGGAGGGCAGTCATCCTACATTGTTGCGTCCCCTCCCCCAGAGCACCTTGGGAAATGCCTGAAATCTTCCTCCTATGGAAACTGATTTCATTTGATCACTAGGTTCAGGCCTGTCTTCCAAGGTTTCTCTCAACTCCCTTGCTTTTGAACCGTATAATTAAACCACAGGAGTGAGCCCTGAGCTTCAGGGGAAAAATGTTTATGCCTTGGTCCCCAGCTCTCCCGACTGGGGCGGCTTTGGCTGGCTTCGGGCGTGAAGAAGGGATGTGAGTGGGGGTCTATCCTTGTGCAGGATGATATCAGGGAGACCTGCTATTCCTCCCCAAGGCCCGACCCCACTGTCACTCCAGATCACATCCCTTGTTCCCGGGAAGAAAGTGACATCTGAAGAGGCACCTCAAAGTCAGGCTCTGTTTCAAAAGTCCCCACTCACTCTGAGGGCTGTGGGGCCGCCCTGCAGGGCCCGGGCTGTGCCTTTGTCACTCAGGCTGCTGTGTCTGAGGAACTGGGGGCCCTATGGGCAGCCTCCCACTTCAAACACCCCAGCCCTGCCTGCCTGGGGAGATTCAAAGAGAAGAGTCTGCTGGCTCATCTGCTGCAAAGCTCCCCTCTGGTGCTCCTGCTTTTTGAAACTGAGACAAGTTTCATAGCTTCAGTTGATCCTGTGCTGACAGATCCTTCCGCGTGGAAAGAATCCTGACCGATGCTCCTGCCAGGAGGTGACAAGGTTCCCAGATTGGGTTCATTGTTCCCCGGGTCAATGGAGCAACCAGCCACCGTGCCAAGGAGACCGCCCCCCCCCCCCAACTCCCATAAGACAGCTGCGTGTCTCTGACAATGAATGGGAAGGGTCTCTACTCTCATCTACATCTTTGAAAATGTATGGAGAACCTTCTGCCCGCAGAGCCCCAAGCAGTCTGTGTGGGTTCCCTCATCAGCCCTGTGGGCATGTAGCCACAGCCTTCTCCAGGTTCCAGAGGGCAGCCAGAGCTGCCAGGATGGATGGCGGCTGGGTACAGGGCAGAAATACCCAGTCACTCAGCAAATATTTATCGGGTACCCCCTTGGAGCTAGGAGCCCTGCTGATGCTGAGGGGGCTTGACCAGCCCCTGCCTCAAGGAGATCAGAGTCTTGGGCAGAGAGGGGACACATGGCATCAACAGAGATTCCCCCAAATGCTTCCTTAAGATTCGGGAAAACCGACCATGAGTGGACTTAGGGAGAGGCTGCTCTCCAGGGCTGTGAGCCCCGGGCTGCGTGACAATGGCTGGCAGGCCTGAGAGAGGTGGAATGCCACTCAGACTGGAAGCCACAGCAGGCTGGGGCACAGCTCAGGGGCCTGAGTGCACATCTCTGATTCCACACCTGAGTCCTATACCCTTCACTGCAACACATACACACACACGCACACACACACCTCTACACACTCCCACACCCACATACCCACCTAGACCTCTACACACACCCACTCTCACATCTATACCTACACATACACATATGCACATATATCTATACATACTGCATACCTATACCCACATCCACACATACACACATATACCTGTGTATACACCCCCCCAAATATATAGCTATACATACCCCCCAGCTATTATCTATATACATACACCTACACATATACCTATGTATACCCCACATACACTCAAATGCACCTATACCTACACACACAGCCCCACACCTATATCCCTACACATGCACAGCCCCTCACATACCCATGCCCACACATTCACATCCACTCATATACCTACCTTCACACCTCCACACCTTTCAAATAGTCTGCTGATTTTACACAAGTTCACAGCATATCATATGTATGACTCTGAAGAGGAAAGAGGGCTGAACCTGGGTGGCCAGCTCTGCATTACAGGTTGGGGATACTGGCAGAGCTGGACCAAACAGGAGCTAGGGAGGTGGGCCTAGGCGGGCAGTCTGCTTGGCAGGAAAAGGAAGCCTGTCACCCAGCTGAACCTTGCTTCTCGCCTGCAGCCCTTTAGAGTCCCCAGGCCCCAGGCCAATTGGGTCTGAGTCTCTGGGGTGGGCTGCGGGATTGGAATGTCTAAAGTTCCCATTAAGGAGATGGAATGGCAGTTGCCAATGGTGGCTGAGGGGAGAGGGGAATAGGATGCTGTTGGTCAAGGGTATAAACTTCCAGTTAAAAGAAGTTTGAGAATAGTTAGTAATGCAGTATTATATACGTGCAAGTTGCTGAGACTAGGTATTCTCCACACACACACACACACACACACACACACACTGTATTAACTATGTGTCAATCACCTTGATCTTGGTAACTTTGGCTAAAGTTCCCACCACATCCCAGGCAATAATATATATCTCTAGGCAAGATCTGTCCCTGGAGGCTGGTGGTTGTTTTTTTTTTTTTTTCTTTTTTTTCTTTTTTTCTTTTTTTTTTTCTTCTTTTTTTCTTTTTGCCAAAACAGAGCCCTAGAACTTCAAAAGCCCAAGTGAGGAGGACAAAGGTGAGAGGGGCGCTACTCACTGAAGCACCCGTTTTCCCACAGCTATCAGGGCTTCAAAGGAGCTCAGTATTCAGGCTGTGGGGTCCCGCCTGCCCCTGGGACCCAGGCCTTTGGTTAGGACTGGAGGCTGGCGAAGCGGTAGATAATGTAGAAGCTGGGCTGAAGAGGGGGCTAGGGAAAAGCACCCTGCTTCTGCTGGGTAAAACACACACCTCACTTTGTGTTATAAATTATTTTGCTTCCTTGCAATCCATTGGCTTTTCTCCTGAGCCCCAAAACTAAGAATTTGAAGAAATAAATCTTTTAGGGCTTCCTAGATCTCTCTTCAAAGTGCCATGCTTCAAAGCAGATGGATGGGTTTTCAAACTTGGAAGCAATTTGGAGAAATCAGGGCCTCAAAGGGAGGTAGAGACGGGACTCCCCTCTGCACGCTCCCCATGCTGGCAGGGAGGGGCGGTGGTTTTGAATGGAGGGGACCTCTGTGGATTCAGCCTCCGCACGTGATACATGAGCAGGTCTAGGGGGGGCCCAGGCCAAGGCTCTCCCTACCCCATCCACCTGGCTCCCCCGTGCTGGCACAAGTGCACTCCAAAGCCTTCTGGCGCACACATCACTGTTCCATGAAGATGCAGCTAAGAAGACTCCGCACTCTGTACTTTTCAATTGCGGGCACAATATCCAGTTGCTTAGGAGAAACTCGGTCTCCGATGGCCTTTTATGCCCAATAGAATTGTAGCCGATTTTATCACCCTGACCTGAATTAATCCCCTTAGCCAATATATACACAGGTACAAGGACCACTCTCACAGGAATTGTACTTAAAGGCAAAAACAAACAAATGACAAGGGCCCTTATTTAGTCCAGGAAGCTTCAAGCCTGCTGCCAAGAGCACTGTGACATTTTTTTGCCGGTCACCAGATATTACTTTGCGAGTATTCACTGTGGACAAACTTATCAGACATTCTTCTCAGGAAATTGCAAAACTGTCCTATATTTCTCAGCCCCTGACTTTATCCTAAAGCTGGTCCCGACCCTCTGAGTTCTGGGCTCGCAAGAATCCTGTTTTTACTAGTCCAGTGGTCGACAAACTCATTAGTTAACAGAGCCAAATATCAACAAATGTACAACGATTGACATTTCTTTCAAGAGCCACATTTTTTTAAACTTAAACGTCTTCTAACGCCACTTCTTCCAAGTAGACTCGCCCAGGCCATGGTATTTTGTGGAAGAGCCACACTCAAGGGGCCAAAGAGCCACATGTGGCTCGTGACCCGCAGTTTACTGACCAGGGCTCTACTCTAATCTTACATAATGACAGTAAGTAGTGAGTTGGGGTCAGAGGCTCCCTTCTGGTCCAACTACCCAGGTCCCATTCATTTCGTGGAGAAGCAGCACCACTGATTTGGGAAAAGCCACGTTGCTTCTGCCCATAAAAATGTGTGAGTGATGTGAGTGATGGAAGCTGCAGCCAGAGCTTAGAAGAAAGGCCTGGAAGGATCTAGCTGCACAGAGAGGGAAATGCCTTTTTTCTCTTTTTCTTTTTTTTTTTTTTTTAAAGCAAGGTCAGCTTTGCCCAGGTACCAACCAAAGTTTGGAAGGTGCACATCTGTCTGTGAATCAGGGAGATCAAATACAAAATAAAGGCACAGCAAGTTTTAATTTATGCCTTTATTTTCAGCTTCTGTCAGCCTTCTTATCTGTCTTCAACTCAGGCCACTCCTGATACCTGACTGCCCTCTTGTCACTTGCTCCCCAGGAGACTGTGAATTCTATGGTGGGAGACCCTACCCTTCCCTCTGGTTCCAGTGACCATGGCAAACTCCTCAGCCTCTCGACCCCTCCCCAGGAGATCTGTGACCCGTGAAAGGCGTTAGGAGTCTCACCTACTAGCTTCTAGCCGCCACCTCCTGCGTCTCACCCAACACTTCCCATAACTACCTCAGGCAGGCTGCTGGCTGCCCCATGCCCTGTGGACACCTGCACTATCAAGAACCATCATTCCCACCTCTGCAGTTTCCAAAACACTTTCACGTACATCATTACGTGGGATCCCTTCTATAAGCCAATACGTCCCTCGTTTACCCAACTCAGACCCGAGGGAGTGAAGTGCCTTCCTTGCCCAAGGAGACTTACATTGACAAGTTAGTCACTCTGTTGTTTCTCATCAAAGCATACAAATTGACAAGTTGTCTGAGGCCATAACTTGAATTAGTGGCAGAGCTGAGACTAGAATTTGGGTTTTCATGGGCTTCCCCCAGGGCAGGAATGAGAGAGGAGCAGTGCGGGTGGCGACACACAATCCTTTTTCCACAGAAGCCAATGTGATGCCTTCTGATGGCTGTGTGGGCCCGCACCTGGCCGAACAGGTGGCCTTGTACCAAATCCCCTGCACCATGCTTCTTGGAAGCAGAACAGCTCATCAAACATGGGACACACCGTTGGGGAGACCAGATACTCTGGGGAGTGACTTGGATTCAGTGTCACAGGCCACTATCATTACCCAGTCTCGTGTTCTGCTGAGGACCACGGCTATTTCCGAAACCTTATCGTAAATCTCAGCTCTCTCTTCAGTCTCTTTGTGATATTTAGAATGTTAACCCCCCTGCTCCAGCGCTGTGGCCCTGTCTTCCTCCCTCTTCCCAGGCGGTCCTCCCCACCTCGGGATTAGTCCTTCTTTTCCTCCAGACCCTGCTTCTGCCCACAGAGGAGCACAAAGACCCAACCTGGAAGCTCCCTCTTCTAAGCTGCTCGGCTGTTCTTGAGTCACAGTGGTTGGCATTTCAACAGCCCCACACACAAAAGAGAGATTTCATGAAACACTCTGCGAAAATAATTACACGGAGTCCTTTGTTTCTCAACTCCTCTCTAATCTCTTTTCGCAGCGATGGCCACCATAATTAAGTGCAATATTCCGGTGTCAAACTAAATTCACAGCTTTGCTAAATATTAGGCGATTAAGCCATTTATAAGATATGCAATTTGAAAAATCTGGCGTTTCACGTGCTATGATTATGTCTTCTCCTGAAGACTAAGTGCTTAGCCACACGGAAGCCTCTGCCAGGAGCGGGGATTAAATGAGGATGTTCACTTGTGAGTTTCAACTATTTTCACATCTCAGATGCGCTGAGAGGAAGTCTCTCTCTGTGGCAAAGCAAAGAGAGGGAGGAGAGGGAGAACAGCAGCCTTTGCAAGTGGAGTGACCACATGATGTTTTTGAAAAAATGAGCCTATCCCATTAAGATCAGTTTCCCTGCAGACCTGAGCCTGGAGATCTCCCACTCCCCACCCCGCTAACTCGCCCGCCGGCAGCGCCCCCTGCGGCGCGGAGGCCTACCAGCAGGTCCACCATGTTGGGCTTGTTGTTCCGCAGCGTCTTCACGGCGTGGAACACGTCCACGGTGCGCTGGTGCCGCAGCATCTCGCACACGATGCTGATGGCGCAGAAGGTCCCGCTGCGGCCGCCCCCGTTCCTGTGAGGACGGAAGCCAGAGAGTTGGACCTTTGTCTGTCTTACATCGCGTCCCTGAAGCCCCGAGGACGGGTGGTGGTGCAGCTCTGGGCTGGGACCCTCCACCTGGGCCAACCTGCTAAGGAAAGGGGACGCAGCTCGTGCTGTGCTGGAGGCAGGAACTGGAACCCCTGTTCTCCCAGCCTCACGGCAGCCCTAGCTGACAGAATTTAATACAGCACCTTGTCAATTCCTACAGGGAGGGCCTACCTCGGAGATGTTTCACTGAGCACCTCGGTGTTTCAGTTAAAACCGGTGACAAGTGTGGGTTCTGCTCTAAGATGGACTTGGTCTTACAAATACCCATTAGCATTCCATTATTTACTTCTAAGACGTAAGGGCTCTTTTTAAGTTAAGCTTTTAATTTTGAACTAAGTTTAGACCTACAACATTGCTGCAAAAAGAGCACCGAGCGTCCCGTCCTCCCCTGCTGTGGACTTCTTACATAGCCACTACCCATCATCAAGCCAGGAGGCTAACGCTGTGGCAAAACTATTGCTACCCTGCGGACCTCAGTCATGGCACCGGCTTTTGGATGCGTGTCCTTTTCCTGGTCCAGGATCCATCCCAGGATCCCATCTTACATTTCATTGTCATGTCTCCTTACTCTCCTCCCATCTGTGACTGCTCCTCCTTGTCTTTCTTGACCTTGGCACCTTTAAAGAAGACTGGTCAGTGATGTTTTTTTTTTTTTAAACCAAAACAGAGAATGTAGATGTGGAAAGTAGCCATGATCCCTATCCGTAAATGGAGAAGTCATTATGAAATACAAACTGTAGACTGACATTCACTTGGGTTTGTCTGATTTTTTTTTTTTTTTTTTAATGATTGGAAATGGAGTTACACATTTTGGCAAGAAAAGCCACAGAAGGGGCTGTTGCATCCTTCAAGGGATTCATGTTGAACTCACAGCTGCTGCTGATACACCTGATCACTTATTAAGATGGTAGGTGCCTGGCAGATTTATTTTCACTGTGTAGGTGTTACCTTTCTCTTTGTAGTTAGTGAACATAATGGGAAAGATACTCTAGGATTACGCAAATACGTTGTTTCGCCTCAAACTTTCACCTACTCATTTTAGCTTATATTGGCAGATCACATTGATGGATCCCGTCTGCAGCAATGATTACTGTGGTGCTTGCCTAATTGATTTTCTACGTCCCTCTCTCCTTCAACATTTTTCTTCTCCCCTGTTTAAAATTGTTATTTAGCTTATTTTTTATCATTTGTCAATTTAGACCTATTAATCCTATTTTATGAGCTAAAATCCAGTAGTCTACATATTTTGTTGCTGAAATTGTTCTAGCTCAGGCCACTAGCCACTCCATCAGATTGCTTCCGTGTTCTTTCGACAGTTTCTTTTTTTCTTTTTCTTTTTTTTTTTTTTACAGAGAGGAAGAGAGAGGGATAGAGAGTTAGAAACATCGATGAGAGACAGCTGCCTCCTGCACACTCCCTATTGGGGATGTGCCCGCAACCAAGGTACATGCCCTTGACCGGAATCGAACCTGGGACCTTTCAGTCCACAGACCCGACGCTCTATCCACTGAGCCAAACCGGTTTCGGCTTGACAGCTTCTGTCATTTTTTTTTTTTTTTTTTGAATATGTCCTCACTTTCTGCAACCACAGATGTTCCAGACTCATTCTATATGGTCCCTATACCAGCTCTAGAATCAACCAATCTAGGGATCTTTTAAAAAATAAACACAGGATCATTATTGCAGCTAACATTAATACACATTACTCTTTTAATGTAATCAAGTTTTTAGTCACTGTTTAAATTTCTTAGGAAATTTAAACAGTGACTAGAAATAGTAGTTGTCTATTTCAAATATACATCCAAGCAAAGTCCATGCATTGCATTTAGTTGAAATATCTTGCAAATTTATTTTAATCTATAGTTTTCTTTTCATTCTTTTTTTTCTTGGTAATTTATTTCTTGAGGACAAAGGGCCATTTTTCCGTAGAGAGCTCATATTCTGGGTTGTTCTCATTCATTGTGTCTCTGAATATAATTTAACATGTTACGCTCTAATCCTATATTTTCTATAAATTTGGAGTTAGCTCCAGAGTTTCATAAGAATTTTAATTTTTTTGGATAAGGATGCCTTATAAGTATACTGTCATTAGGAAGTAGGCACAGATATAAAATTGTTCCTTGATTTGTGATTTTAAGATTTATCATTGTGTTTAAATATCAGCTTGATCAGTCCATTACTAAGTTTCAAAGCAGTTTTTAAAATAAAGTATAACATACCTTAAATTAAGTCCATGAATGCTAAGTATATATATTAGTTAATTTTTATAAATGCATATGCCATGTAAACACCATTCAGATAAAAATATAGACTATTATCAGCTCCTGAGACCCCCTTTTACTCCTTCCTGTCAATACCATCAATACTCCAAAGATAATCTCTGTTCTCACTTTTATCATAAAAAATTTATTTTGGCCCTGGACTGTGTGGCTGTTGGTTGAGCATCATCTTGTGCACTAAAAGGTCACCAGTTCGATTCCCAGTCGATTCCACTTAATATTATCTGTGAGAGAATCATCCATATTGTATCAGTAATTTACTTTTTTATGTTGCTAAAAATAATTACATTGATTGGATATACTACTGTATAATTTATTTCTCTAACAGCTGATGAATGTTTGGCTGTTTCTAGTTTCTGGTACTATGAGTAAATCTGCTGTAAACATGCCTCATGGTTGCATACATGACTCACTTCTGTAATCATATGCCTAGGAGCAGAACTCAGAGAATGGATGTGCATTTAGCTTTAGTTAACAGCTCCAAAACAGCTATAGCATATTTATCTCCTACCAACAGCGTATGGGAGTTCCAGTTACTCCACAGCTTCACCAACACTTGGTATTTTAATTTATGTGTTTGTCTTCTAAATTCTAGACATTCTGTTGAGTATGCACTGACATCCGACTCTGATTTTAATGTGTATTTTCCCAACAATAAATGGCACTTAAGACCTGTTCTATGCTTATCAGCCTCTTGGACATTCTTTTCTTTTCTTTTCTTTTCTTTTCTTTTCTTTTCTTTTCTTTTCTTTTCTTTTCTTTTCTTTTCTTTTCTTTTCTTTTCTTTTCTTTCTTTTCTTTTCTTTTCTTTTCTTTTCTTTTCTTTTCTTTTCTTTTCTTTTCTTTTCTTTTCTTTTCTTTTCTTTTCTTCCTTCCTTCCTTCCTTCCTTCCTTCCTTCCTTCCTTCCTTCCTTCCTTCTTAAATCAAGTTTTTGTCAAGTGTTATGCCCAAACAACCGGGTTGTCTAGCCTTTTTCTATTGACTTGCAGTAGTTCTTAGTCATTCTGGCTGAGTCCTTTGTCAGATGGATGTATCACAAAACTCTTTACCAGCTCCGTGTCGTCTTGCTTTTGCACTCTGACTGGTGTTGTAGGTGAACTTAAGTACTTAACTTCAATGAAATCCAACTCATTAATGTTTCCTTCATGGCTAATGTTCTTTGTCTTGTGTAACACATCTTTGGTAACCTCATGGTCATAAAGATTTACTCCTGGAAATGTCACTTTTTTTCTTTTTCACATTTTGGTCTACAATCCATCTGGATGTGATTTTTGTATATAGTGCAAGGAGAGACACCAGGTATGTAGGCAGTCTTTTCCCACTCCCTTGAAGTAGGTAGGCTGTGGGATCTTTGTTGTACATCAGGTGACCCTGAGGTGTGGCTCAGTTCATGGGTTTTCTCTTCTGTGCCATTAGTCTACCTTCTGCCTTTGCACTGACACCACAATGCTTTTCCTCCATTAGCTTTTCACCCAGTGCTCTCAGTAGCTTTCAGAGACATTGTCTAAATCCATCATTTTCACCAAGGATTGCAAAATGGTGATATCTTACATTTCTTTTGGTTTTATTAGCTGGGAGATATGTATAAAGAAAAAAAAAATCCCCTATTTGCTTATCCTGAGTATATGTGGCTTAAAGAACCATCCTTGGGCAGGGATGCTCTGCCCACAGCCATTAGGTGGCGCTACATTATGCTAAAACAATGTCCTTACTTCAGAAGAATAGCAGGGAGCTGTTTGGATCAAAGCATTCTTTGCTGGCTTATACTGGAGGATACCAATTTAACCTAAAAGTCTCACAACTAAAAGTCTTAGATTTAGATTTAAAAGCCTAAACAACAATAAACATTCTCACCAGGCCTGGGTGACCCCAATGTTAAGAGAGCAAGAGGCAGCCCCATGGGAACCGCAAGGACTTTATAATGGAGAATGTCCCCCTCCTCTCCCTCCTGCAAAAAAAAAAAGCAAGTTTTTTTTTTTTTTTTTTTTTTTTTTTTTTTTTTTTTATCAGAAGAAGGGGAAGAACAGCGGATGCCCACCACCATCCACTACAGTTAGGTAACAGCCCTCTGTTTTAGATGTCACGTGGAAAGGTGACATAACTGCTTAGTTCTAGGGCCACAGCTGTGTCCTGGAAGGTCATAGTCGGTGGTTGTCTCTGAGGTACAGTGATGTAAGGGAACCTTGTATCTTCCCCTCAGGCTTGTCTAGTGCCTCAACTTCCCCCACTGTGACTTAGTCCTTTGTATTACGGCACTTGCCCTTGTAAGGAAGCTACTCATCAAATTTGGTACCATGCATTATGCTCCTAGTTCTAAATGCTGGCAGACGCTAGATGCAGAAATGGATATCTGCAAACTACTTTTAGTTTATTTTTTTTTTAACTTAATAGATATAATACAAACTCTAACTAAAATGTTAATTTTCCTTGCCAGGATTGTATCAACTCACACTGGTGACTCTCTGATCTTATTCTGATCAGAGGTTATATCTGGACTTGAAAGATATAAAAATGGGTTTGTGAGTTGTTCATCATTCCCTTTGGCATTTTCTTGGTAGAGATGTTTTTAATGAACTGGGTCCATGAAAAGGAAGGAGAAAGTAGTAAAAGGTGATGGCTTATGAACAGCTTTTCCGGGGACAAAGGATCAGGGTTAAGTGTGAGTAGGTTCATAAGGTTCTTTCCAAGGGAATACCAGTTTCCTACAGGCTGACAGGCCACATTTTGACTTGAGAGGCAAGGCAGAGTTCTAGGCGGTCACAAGGAGTCCTAGGGCCCTGAGTGGGAGTGGCATGGCATGAGATATGGGCAAAAGGTGGAGAGTGACCCAGGCCTTTAGCCAAGCTTTTAATTAGGGTTCGTGGTCCCAGAGTAAAACTTTATTTTCCCTTCAATTTGAGAGAGATCTCATTGTATACTTCTAATGACATTCCACTGGATGAGACATAAGTTTAACACTTTAAGTTTCCACAAATTCTCTAAACATTTTCCCTAATTGCCATGACTTTCTAATTGCCTGCTCCATTAAGCCAATTCCAGCTGGCTGATTAGCTACATATCATCACCAATGAGAAAATGCAGGTGAAAGTGCTTCGAAAAGCACGGAAGTCTCTTTTCAGCATTCATCTTGACCGAATGTTAAAATTACCTAGGATCTTAAAAACACACCAATGTGTGGGCCCCACCCCCAGCAATTTTGATTGAATTTAGCTTGGGTGTGGCCATGGCACAGAAATTTCCCAAATGACTGTCAATGAGCAGCTAAGGTGGGAGTCACTGCTCTGTGGCAAAGGTCCTCCCATTTCAGCACCTGCTAAAACTGGTGGCCTGGAGACCACACTCTGGAGACAATGGCTCTAACCAAATCTTCCCAATGTATACATTCCCAGGCCCAAACCAAAATAAAACAACAAAAAACTCTCTTAAAACCACAAAGAAACTCCCTCCCCCTATAGTTCCTTTGGAGCTTCTGACATGATTTCCAATAGCATCACTCGCTATACCAGTGTGATGGCAAGCTAGTCCTGATTTATAGTATTGGCTGATTTCTGTGATGTAGATTCTTTCACTTGGATGGTTTATCAAGTAATCAACAGTTTAGAAAGTTCAACCAGCTCAAAAAGTCCCCCAAATGTTAACAACTGGTTCTCAAGAGCTGGTAGGAGCCTACTGGACTAACCCATGTTTTTTTTTGTTTGTTTTTTTTTTTTTGCGGGGGGGAGGGGTCGGGGAGAAGAGGTGTTCCCAATCACAAGGCCAGGGCTTGTTTTTATAGCAGTCACAGTCTGTGCAAATGCAGAATCAAAACATGCATATCTTGTTTTCTGCAAAGCAAACCAAACCTCCATCAAGTAGATCATCTGCTTTCACTCACATCTACTTATTTCTTCCCCAACTGTAGTGGAACAAGAGAGAGTGAAAAAGCAGATAATGGAAGGTGGTTGGTCATTCCCAGACGCAGAGCGCTATCTCACACTTACAGGCAGTGCACAACCGTGCGGCCTTCCCCGCCATTGTATTCCTCCTGCCACTTGTCCACTTGGCGAATGAGCTTCAAGAAGGAGCGCTTGGACACCGGCGTGTCTCTGTACATCGGCCAGCCAAGGAACTGGAATTGCTGCACCATCCGATATCCATCTTGGGGCTGGAGAATCAGGCAATAAGCAGGGAGTGAAAAAGAAAACAGGCATTATTTACTTTATTGAATTCCAGCGGGCAGGTTCCACCTACTTGGTTTTCTCATCAAAGGAGGGCAATATTAAAGGAGAGGCTGGCCTATAAATAACAGAGGAAGCTTCTACTGGCCTGAGAGTTATGAGTTTTAATATTGAGGTGTTATAAAAAAAACCCAGGTGTTTGAAATGACAGACCAGGCAAATAAAAGTGAAGCCAAAGGCTTGTGATTTTGCAAAAACCAAGTGAAAAATAACACACAACACGAACACTGACCACATTGTGTAGTAAAAGGTAAAACGACTCTACTTTAATTACAGGTAAATTAAAGGTAGAGGATAGGTTACAATCAGGAGATGCTCGTGAGCTCAGGATGTTATAGATTGCACTGTGTTTCCTGTGAATATGATATGATTTTGCTTATTGGTGTGACTCTTGCTGAGATACCAGTAGTTAATTAATCTTTACTCATAGTTCAATACAATTGCACTATTCAAGAAAATGTTAGAAAAGGCAACCGTTTTAATCCGCCATGGCTACACCATTGGCGCTACATGTTCCGTGGCCCCCAGCAGTCTTGGACACAGGTGGTCAAGCTTTTCTCGTTGACACACTTTCTTCATCTGGCTGTTCCTTGTCCTTCACTGCTTTCTCCCCTCTGTAGTGGCCTCCCCTTCTGATGGACCATAGCTCAGTCTATGGGTCCCTTTCGCTTTTGTCTCTCATTTGATGATTTCATGGCTTTAAATATTCCAATAAGCCATCAATTCATATCTCTAGATCAGACCTCTGTCCTCATAGATCCAAAAGCCAACTCAATATTTCCACATAGGTGTCTGTCTAATGGTCATCTCAAACCTAGTATGCTTCAAATTGAATTCCTGACTCTCTCTCCATGTATGACCCTCTTCTCTCCTGAAATTGTCCTGTTTACACCCACCATCTTCCCTAAATTGGTTCATGTCAATTCCATCATTCTAGTTCTCAGAACCAAAATCTGGAGAGTCACCCTCAGCTCCCTAGGAGCCAAACTGCCAGCAAATCCTATCGGTTCTGCTGTCAGAATATACCAGAATCTCTTTATTTCTTACTACCTCCAACTGCTACCACTCTGTCCTGCCATTGTCATTTCCCACCTAGACTGTTATGATCGTCTCCCGATGGGCCTCTCTTAAAATCTGTTCTCAACACAGAAGCCAGAGTACTCCTTTTCAAAGGTAAATTATATCATGCAATTATTCTCAAACCATGTAATGGCTCCTGATTTCCTTCAGAGCAAATGCTCAAATCTTTGCAGTGGACTGCAAGGTCCTGCATGATCCCTGCCATGCCTCCCCGCTGCCTCCCCTAGTCCATTCCCTAGGTGATTATAACTTACTGTGCTCAAGCCACATCAGCCTCTTTACTGTTCCAGAAACCCTCCCTCAGGGCCTTTGCACTGACCAGTACTTCTGCCTGGAAAGCTGACTCTGCAGAACATCGGATGGTTGCTCCCTCACTTTCGTCAGGTGTTTGTTCACACTGTACATCTACTTAAGACAGAGCCTTGCTCTCCCTCCTGTTAATGCCCTAGCACTTTCTACATTTCAGATTTTTTTCTATAGCATTTATCAATTTCTAACATATCTCATTATGTCTAATATATCCATTATTTATTGTTTATCACCTCCCATTAAAATGTAAGTTCCATAAGGTCAGGGAGCTTTGTTTTGTTTACTGATATAGTCTATGGTCCTGGAACAGCGACTGTCACAGAGTGGCACCCTAAATATGCATTGAATGAGAAAATAATGAAACCACAATGTGATATTGGCTGTGGTTCTTACTCTGGATGCATTATAAATACGGAATATCCTGCTGATGATGTCTTCTTCTAAATCAGCAGAAACGAATTCCACTTGGATTGGGCCATGTCTGTGAACTCCGTTCTCTGGCCAGTACTGTGGACACAACTGAATTCAAAACAAAGAAACACGAGGTTATTTTAAGAATAAGTTTACTCCGAGCATTTTGAATATGGTCAGTATTGACATTCAGTGGGTCTTAATACATCCGTGATTCACTAAGTGTTATTTCCTTTCTCTCCCTTCAAGAAAGTAGACTTGCAGACTTTCTTGTTGGCTGCTGTCCTTCTTCTAGTCCTTTTCCCTGCATTTTCTCAGAAAGCATCATTAAACTATGAGCAATTCTGTTTTCTGAGGACATGTGGATGCTATTTTACACATCCCATAGTAAGATTCCTTTTGCTGCTGGCAAGAATTCTTACAAGGCCCTGGAAAGATGCCACTAGCTGCCATTAAAAGAGCTATGGTTCTTAAGATGACACACATACCTACAAACACCCAAATCTCCATCTTCCCCTGGGCTTGCTTTGCAATTTGTAATCACTTTGGGGAATAAGGTTATTCTGTGACAAGATACTGATAATAGCGTTGCATTGCATTTTTATGCTCTGGTCCAAACCCTCCTGCTCTGTTCTAGAAAACCTGGTGTAATAAGAGTAATTGCTTTACCTGGAGATGGCTTTAATAAAAACCACAATTTCCTAGAGTCTCACACTCTAGCTTTGGTGACACTAGGATACTGGAACTTCTGTATGAATGGGATATGATGCACAGTTCTAGTGGAGAAGTGCAGCTGGGCATGGTGTCTTATGAAACTGGGACTTTCATTCGGTGAGCCACCATTCTATTAGCCACAGTGTTAGAGTACCCAAGATAGGTGAGAGAATACCCAAGATCTTTCCTTCTCACAAAGCTTTTCTAGCCCCAAGACCCCAAAAGACATTTAAAGTTGGAAATTAAACTTCTTTTGGGGCATGATATTCCAGCGACATATTGGGTAGTATCATGTAACTTTTATCTTTCTGATTTACCAGAGGGACAAATAGCTGTGATGAGACAAAAAAGAACTACTTCATTAGTTTATAACCAGTTTCAATTGGGCCAAGAGCAGATGAAAAACATATCAGCTTATTTTAAGCAGAAGGAAGAACCACAATAAGAGAATCTACTAGCTGAATTTCCTTTCTGATGACTTATTTTCCAAAGGATCTAAAAATCTTAATGTCAAAGGTTGCAATTTATATATCTTGCATATAAATTGATTTATATGCAAGATAATTTTCAGTTAATGGCAGGTCAACCTAAAGAGCAATCTTCCTCTATTATAAAGAAGTTAGAGGTTTGGACTTTATGCTTAAGAATGAAAGTAAGTTAACTAAGGATACTTAATAGTATCTTAGAAAGTACATTTATTTATTTTTAAAATGTATATTGTATTAGTTTCAGGTGTACAGTCCAGTGATTAGACACTATATAACACTAAGTGATTATCCAGAATAAAAATATGGTACCCAAGTTGGTGGGGCAAGGTCTAAGGGAATCACCAGGGCAGGGTGAACAGTGATAGCCAGGTTGATGGAGACTCAGATATGGCACCCCCTGCTGGTTCTGTGGGGGAAGGACTCAGAAAGGGAACAATGGCCTTTGCCAGCACTTCTGTCTGGGAGAAAGCTGCCCCTCCAGCTCTCATCTGATGCCAGACATTTTAGTTTTTACCCTTATGTCTCTGGTACTTTTTAAGGTACTGACAAAGCACTGGAGTTCAGAGGGAGAGAGACTGAGTAAGTCTGTGTGAGGCCTTTTCAGAGGAACTGCCTGGGACTTCAGCAGCCTCCATCACCCTCAGCCACAATGCCTGTTCATTTTTATAATCCAAAGCTATGGGGACTTCTCTTCCTGGCATTGGAACCCTGGGCTGGGAGGCCTGGTTTGGGGCTGGAACCCCTTGTTCTTCAGGGGGAATCTCCATAGCCAAGATATTCCTCCTACTTTTTCTTAAAATATGTTTTATTGATTTTTTTTTACAGAGAGGAAGAGAGAGTTAGAAACATCGATGAGAGAGAATCATTGATCAGCTGCCTCTTGCACATCCCCTACTGGGGATGTGCCCGCAACTAAGATACATGCCCTTGACCGGAACCGAATCCGAGACTTTTCAGTCTGCAGGCTGACGCTCTATCCACTGAACCAAACTGGTTTCGGCTCCTCCTACTTTTTATCTTCTACATCTCTGCCCCTCCTACCAGTCTTGATGTGGCTTCTTTTTTTAAATCATTAGTTGCAGGACTCCCATTGAGCTAGATTTCAGGTGGTTCTGAATAATGGTTGTTGTGTAATTTAGTTGTATTTTTGATGTTGTTGTAGGAGGATGTGAGTAGAACATTTCCCTATACCTCTATCTTGACCAGCTGTTTATTTATTTTTAAATAATGCTCTCATGAAATCTTCCCTTCCTCACCAGCACTTCCTGGCAACAAGTTATAAAACTGCCTTATCAAACTATAGCATGCTAACATCTATTTTCTTTTTGATATCCAAATGTACCCACTGTTAAAATTAATAGGCATTGTGATAGGAAGCAGAGATGGTAATAAAATCCGAACATGCACAGTTGAACTGTTCTGCCCATTTTACTCCTGGTTGAGCTAGCTTTGCTTTTAGCGTGTTCTCTCAGTTCAAACTCAGATCAAAAGCTTGTCATTTATACCAAAGAAATATGAATGGCCTAGGCTGACATTTGGCTCTTGGCACACTGCATTCTGCACTTTGCCCAAGTAAACGATATATAAAATGGCTTAAATGGTGTATAACACATCCATGAACTGGACCTATAAATACTTAAAATAGTTGAGATCTATTCTTAAATTGCAAAGCCTTTAAGTTCAAATGCTTAGTTTAGTGTTCTCTAAAAGACCGACTCCCAGGAGCCTCTTTTCTCTCACTCTGAAAATCAGCTCTGTCTGCTGAATGGAATTACTGTCTCTTTGTCTCTCCTCCCTCTGGCCAGGCAAGGCTTGGTTTCAGTCCAGACAGTTTGGGTTTAGAATGCAGCTTTGGAATTCAAATACTGCTGTTTAAAGAGAACACACAGAAATAACTAATACCTCACTAATATGAACAAAACGGTACATCACTACATTTCAGGATTCACATTAGGGAGGGGGGAAAGAATGATTCTGAAGAGGGATCAAGCCCTTTATTCTAGAACTGTCTATGACTAAGGACTTCTGAATTAGGGAAATTTAACCCTGGACACTGCGAGTTAGAAAACCAGGATCCATGGTTCTATTTTGAGTTGTGTCTTTGAAGCTCCCTTAGCTGCGACTGTGTTTTTAAATGGCTGCAATCTATCCTCTGGAGGGGGCCAATGGGGGAAGACCTGAAACTGCCTTCTTAAGCAAAAAGGACTAGATGAGGACAAGGATTGTCATTATCATCTCATAAACATTCAGGCTACAGCCCTAATAATATAATCTAGTATCTCAAACATAATTAAAAATGTTACAGCATTAAAGAGAATTCCATATCATTTATGGCAGATTGATGGCAATAAAGTAGATTTTAGGAAGGGATGCTGAAATAGGCCTTTTTATCTTATTTATTTATTTTTTAAAAGAATTTGTCTCTATTAAATCAGAAATAAATTCAGTTCCAGAACAAGTTTATTCTTAAAACACGCTAAGTTCAAGTTTAGCATAACTGTCTTGACAGTTAAGCCTGTGATTGGTATGGCTGTATCCTAAAGCAATAAATTTAGCTTCTAAATGGCCACTGTGCTAATGCTCGCCTGACAAGTCTCTTGAAGAAAATGTTCTTAAACCCCATTACTAATATCGAGTCATTACTGTCCATTCTATCTTTTTTTATGTTTAAGAAGAGGAGCTATGAAAATGTCCCATTTATCATTCTGAGCTTCTCTTATCTTCCAGCCCCAGTTTTATTTCTTTTTAATATCTTTATCAAAGAGTTGACACAACTAATTGCTTTCCCTTAAAATTGCCTGCCACCGCATCATGGTACTATCCCTGATGAGATTGAGAGCTGGGTTCGATGCTGACATCTACCATGGCTTCTGGCTTGCTTGCTCTGATTTTGGTGTTGTGGCATTCCTGTTCCTGTTCTGCTCTGACTCTGCCCATTACCTTGATCTCCCTCCAGTCAGTATTTCCATCCTTTATGACTCCATCTTGCCCTCTCACTTCCACCATCTGTAATTCCAGCCTGTCTTTGGGTTTCAGATGACTTTCTGCCCCAATCCCTAATTCCATCTGATTCTTAACATTTGTGTTTCAGCATCTTTTGTTCTCAGTCCTCACCTGACTTTTGTGACCTGGCACTGGAGGCCACACTTGCAAACAAATGCAACACAGATTTGCAAACAAATCAAACACAGATTTAACCCTGGGCACGAGCTCTGGCTGTAATAACTCATGAGTCTCACCTGGGCCGGATCCACATCATTCAGCATAACTACAGATGTGCAGTGATAATCCAGGACCAGCCTCCAGAAGTCTTTCACTGTGTTTGGCAAAGGATGCTGGGTGACTATAAAAGCGGAAGGCTGTTTATAGCTCTGCAAACACATAAGAAAGATCCAAATATATCAGAAAACATGAAGGGAAGAAGCTAAAGTTATTTTATATGCATACAAATTTGTGACATAAAAGACTGAGCATATTTAACAACTGTTGAATTCTATCACCATTGTCAATGCCAAAACAGACTAAATATAAACTTATCTATATTATAGTAATGATAAAATATTCTCACTTTGACACTAAGAACACAAGAGCATTTCATAAAATGTTTGCTGTCTCTAGTAGAAAAGCAATATTGGCCTTATACATAATCGATCCCCCCTGCCCCAGTCTCCCCCTCCCCACTCCCCTGCCCGAGGAATAAGCTTTTGTCTTGTCTAGGGCAGTGGTCGGGCAAACTCATTAGTCAACAGAGCCAAATATCAAGAGTACAATGATTGAAATTTTTTTTGAGAGCCAATTTTTTTTTTTAAACTTAAACTTCTAATACCACTTCTTCAAAATAGACTCGCCCAGGCTGTGGTATTTGGTGGAAGAGCCACACTCAAGGGGCCAAAGAGCCGTATGTGGCTCTCGAATGGCAGTTTGCTGACCATGGGTCTAGGGCTTGGGAGTTGGATATCAAAGAATTTAAAAAATTTAACCGCTTTTTGTCAGCAACTACTAGGAAGGTAGCACATAAATGTTTTGCTCCCAGGCTGACCTTCAGTGTATTCATTGTTCAATTCAATGCTCTACTTCTGTCATAGGTCTAGCTTACTCCTTACTTAACTGATTTTTTTGGCTGTTTCCTTGACTAGGCTCTGAAAGAAGCATGGCACTGTCTCCTTATATGATGATGAATTTTTCCATCTCACTCTGTATTTCAATTTCTATTTTATATATTTTTGAAGCCATAATTTTAGTGTAGTACTGTTATTTCTTCTGAGTGCATCAAACATTATTTCTTATGAAATGACTCCATAAAATAAGTCATCCTATCTTTTTTAAAGTTACCTTTAAAGTCTTTTTTTTTTTTTTACCTTAAAGCCTATTTTGCTTGCTAATAATGTAGTTACTTTCACTTCCTTTTAGCTAAAACATAACCATATATTTCTATTTCTTCTTTTTCTTTCAAAGTTTAGTATCCTTTTCTTTTAGCCAATTCTCCTCTATTATTAACTGAGATTTTAATAATCCTTTTAATAAAGAAAATGTAACTTTATTTAAAAAATATGTATTATATAATTAAGCCTTGGGCAGTGTGCTCAGTTGGTTGAGCATTGTCCCGTGCACCAAAAGATCTCAGGCTCAATTCCGTCAGGGCACATGCCCGGATTGTGGGGTTGTGGGCTCAACCCTGAACGCAGCAGATTGATGTTTTTCTCTCTCACATTGATGTTTCTCTCTCTCCTCCCTCCCTTTCTCTCTAAAATCAATAAAAACACAATTAAAAACATGCATAATTAAAATAGCTCTGCTTTTCCTAAAAATCTTTCCTTGTCATTTATGTGTGTGATGGTGCTACTTCCTCCCCGCCCCCCCCCCCCCCCCACACACACAAAAGGATGTATATATGCTTTTTACTGCTCTGGGGAGCCTCAAACAAGTTTTTACTGATATCACATCAACAGAATTAAAACTTCCATGTTAGCACTAAAAATATCCATTCACATTTCCCACCAATTGAATAGCAAATGCTCATTCAATTAGAAGAAAACAGAGTGACAGGAAGTAATGAGCTGTGTACTATCTGTACTGACAGGCGATTCCCCCCCCTCCCCCCCCCATGCTAATTACTGCCTGAATCAGGAAGAAAGGGCACTAAAATAATGTTGCAAACCATATTATCCCCACTTGAATCGCCACAGTGACCTAAGAGCTCTCTCTTGCTCTCCGGCCAGCAGGTTAAAACTGCAAGCGCTCAGAGAGTAAATGGGACATGATTCATTTATCAGTATGTTAGGACTAGTGGTTTCCAAGAGATCAAGAATGTCTGCATCGACGGGAAAACATATATGGAGTCTGAAATGCACTTTTCAGAAAAAATTAGTTTGTCTTTAAAAAAACAACACCTCGAAGAGCAAGGGCAGATGAGTCTGAGACCCAGGCTGCATTTAGTCACTTCCCAGTTGCTGCCCCTGGAGAAACATCTCCCCGTTTCCTTCCGAGGGAAGGTAGGTGGGCTTACATCCATGAGAGCGGCGTTGATGTAGTTGCTGCTCTCCCCGTCGATGGTGATGAGGAAAGGCAGGCAGCGGTCCGGAGGCAGGACGTCCATGCACCGGTTTTTCTCATGGTTCCGGGGCAGAAGCGCGATGCTACAGTCTTCCACACGCAGAGTTGGCGTGACCATGTTCAGGGTCTGTGTGACAGAATGCAGGCAGTGAAGAAGACACTGGATAGTACACAGTCTTAATGCAGACTGCAGCACAGCCAAGTTTCCTACAGCTGCGCACAAGATCATCTCCTCCTCCATCTCCGCCATCGCCCCACTCACAGTTACATTTTTATTTCACTTTCTCTCCTTGGATTTTGTCTATAGAGTGTGCCCATCAGACATAAGGACCATTGAGGGTAATGAGGGCTAGACATCTGGGCACTTGGGAGTAGAAGGTTGGGTAGAATTGGTCTAGAGCCAGGTACATTTAGACCAAATGTGAGGATGAGGAACTCTTGCCTGAATATAGTATCTTGCTTGTTTTGGCTGCACCCCGGGGCATTATGGGATTACCAGGTGTCTGCCTTTGAAGTGGGGAAATGGCACTGGAGACCAATGGCTCTCAAAAAGTAACTTTGCCCCCATGGGACACAGGCAATGCCCGCAACATTTCTGGTTGTCACAACTGATGTGGCATCCAGTTGGTAGAGTCCAAGGATCCTACATGACAGCCCCACAGCAAAGAATTCCCCAGCCCCAAATATCAACATTGTGAGGTTCAGGAACCCTGTGCTGCCTCAATGATTCAAGATCTGACTTAGATATATTTCTTGAGGAGCAAAGTCACAGCCACTCACCTCTCCCTCTAGCGTGACTTACCCGGAACTCCTCCTTAATCTGGCTTGAATTTGTCTGTGGGTCCAGTTTGTTCATGTCATAATACAGAGACCGAACTTGGGAAGCAGGGATGGAGGTGTCTCCACAGAGACAGGCTTCTAGGATGGCGTCATGGATAAACACATATTGTTCCTGGTGAAGCAGAGGGGTCTGGTTAGTAATGGAGAAGCCAAGATGCCTGAGAGATTGAGATAGAGAAAGAGGGAAGGCAGCCCCATGTGGTCAAGGAAATGGACCAGTGTTCTGAGAAAGATCCCGTGTGAAGACCCGACAGCTGGGAGAAGGGTATTCCCCACGTGGCACACCTGGGCATGGTTACTGAAAGGCCACACATGACAGCTTAATGGGAGAAAGAGACAAATGGGCTCAACCCGTTTACATGGCGTGATTAAAGTCTTATATGGACCGATTAAAACCAATCAGATGCTGATAAATACTAGAGCAAGCACTGTGATGCTAGAGTAACTGTGGCTAAACTATTATACTTGGGTAATTCTGATCCCATGGGTTTGAAACTCAGTATTTCAGATGAGGAAATGAGCAGAATCTTATCCATCTATGATAAAAAAAAAAAAAAGAATTTGCTGACCAAATTAATAACGCAGAGAAGGTGAAGGGAAATTTGACATCACAGTAAAAAACCAGTTCTGAGCACTTAGAACTATTTACTTTGAAATATTAATGAATGTGATAATTAAAAAAGTCTTTATGTGTCCAGAGAAGGGCTCTTGTTTGTAGGTTACAAGTCCACAGTTTAAAAATGGGTCTTTAGACTGGCCAGCATGGCTCAGTGGCAACCTATGAACCAGAAGGTCATGGTTCAATTCCTGATCATGGCCCAGGTTGCTGGCTTGATCTCCAGTGTGGGCATGCAGGAGAGAGCCAATCAATTATTCTTTCTCTTTTCACTGATGTTTCCATCTTTCTCTCCCTCTCCCTTCCTCTTAGAGATAAAAAAAAAAGTATTTTAAAAATAATAAGAATGGGTCCTCTAATTCAGAACTGGCACTGACTTTATCTACAATTACTTACTAAAGTTTTACCATATTTATTATCAACTTTTAATTACTTGAGATGCAAGCCAGTCTCATTACTTTTTACTTTAATTTCTATAAATAACCAGGACTCTTAATTCTCAAAACTAGGCCACTGCTATTCAACATCACCTCAAAAAAGAGGAGCAAGTGGGAAAATGGATGAGACAACATTTGATCAATTGTAAAGTACGTTAAAAATACATTATCGCCCTAGCCGGTTGTGGTTAGTGTTGGCCTGTAGACAGAAGGGTTCCAGGTTTGATTCTGGTCAAGGGCACATGTCTTGGTTGCAGGCTTGATCCCCAGAAGGGGGAATGCAGGAGGCAGCCTATCAATGCTTCTCTCTCATAGATGTTTTTATCTCTCTCTCTCTCTCTCCCTTCCTCTCTGAAATCAATAAAAATTTATTTAAAAAATACATCATCATTATTATCTTTAAAACAAAGAATTCCTACTCTAAAGAGAAAAAGACCAGGAAAATAGCATTTAAAGTTTCTGCTATTTTTCTTTGTTAGCTAAAAATAAATAAATAAATAAATAAATAAATAAATAAATTAGGGTTTCCAGTGCCTTGTGTAAACTGTATGCGCAAAAAAAATGTACTGGATTGTTTTTAGTTCTTCTTCTATTTCACAGATAATTTTCCAGGTGGCAAGTGTAATGCTTACTTAAAACAATCACATATTAGTAAAAATATGAATTTCCTATGAGTAGGATCTAATTATTTTCCTCAAAAACTCAACTTCCTGATACACTTCGAATTCTAGTTGATGGAAGTACTGGTTGGTACATAGTGCTTCTATAAAATGGGCAAATTCCCACGATACCAAGTCATTGGGAGGAATTTTTAGGGACCAGGAAAGGAACAAAATGTACAGATACGACCCTTGAGTCACTTGGCAACTGCTTGGCTATTCTGAGGAGTGACCTTGCTCTGGTTACCAGCTAGTTTGAAGGCATAAGAAGAAGAAATGGAATTGGAAGCCTGAAGCCTTAATGCAGAGACTCCACTGGGCTCCTTGACCCAGACACTAGCGAAGATTCAGGCTCATGGCTATGCTATGGATTCTGTTATCTGCGAGACTCGTGGCCTTTTGTGTTTGTTTATGAAAGGAAAAACAAAAGGAAGCAGGGAGGAAGGAAAGAAAGGCTGCCAGGTGTATCACTTTTTCTTTTAGGGAGTTTAGGAGTGAGAATTGCCTGCGTTTCTTTTCTCCTTGGCTCTCTGGGGGGTAGGGACTCACCAGAGGCCCCAGGGGACCAGCTCAAGAGCTGATGGGACCGATGGGAGCACAGTACCTCCGTTTGCACCATGTTCACTCTCCGCGACCGCAGCTCCCGGACACAGTTATAGATGTCCACCACGCCTTCCCTTTCCGCCATGTCCAACATGATGTCGATAACGATGAAACAGCCGGTCCTCCCAGCACCAGCACTGAGTGGAGAGAGATGTCTATTAGAGGAGGCGAAGGACCCCTGTGTAGCTGCTTCTTTAAAAAAAAACTTAACGTATTATGGCGAGATTCACATCACCTCACATAAAATGAACCATTTAAAGTGTGCAACTCAGTGGCATTTCACATCTTCACAATGGTGTGCAGCCTTCACCTCCATTGGTTTCCAAAGCATTTTCCCCACCCAAAGGAGACTCACACCCACTGCCCTCTGTGCGTCCTCCCAGAGGCTCTGGGCGTGCTACTCACCTGCAGTGCACCACCAACGGGCCTGAGTTGGGCGGGCTCTTCGATTTGACCTGCCGGACGAATCCCAGCAGCCCTGTGGCATGGTAAGGGACCCCGTGATCGGGCCAGCCAGTGAAGTGAAACTGTCTGATCTCTCGGATTTCATGAACACCCCTCTGTCATTCCCAGTCAGCACAATGCAGGAAGAGAACAAAGGGAAACACATGATGAGCAACCAGGAGAGCCTTGGGTACCCCTCGGCAGTCAGAAAGTCTAGGGATAGAAATCCTGGGTCGCTGGGAAGAAGGTGATTCTTAGATGTTATACGCACTTTGAAAACCTTACCACAGGCACGAAGATACTTGGGTGGAAGGGGAGGTGATGTCTGGGGACAATACTAACTGACAGGTGCAGTTCCAGCAAATGAATGGATGGATCTCTTTGAGTCCTTGAGATTCCTTTCTAAAAAGTAGATTCAGTGAAAAGTTTGTGTGACACTTAGATCCTAAGGGTGAAGTATGAGTTCATAGAGAAAGAAGCACAGAACAGGGACCTATGTGCTCAAGAGATCAGCCACTAAAATGCAAGACCCTTGTTCCCTCTCTTCTGGTTCCTTTGTCTGGGGCCCTTGAGCAGTGTACACACTGTGAATGCCTAGAGAATGTCACTGGAAGAATAAATGAGGACTACTTTCCAACTACATAGGCCAGAGAATTAATTTTCATTTGCCATTCATTTTGTTAGATTTCTCTTTTTTAATCTGAGTAAACATTTAATCCATTCATCCGTTCAGTGACCATCTGAGTGAATGCAATGCTTCCTTTAGGTATGACCCTAGCTGCTGGGGACACAGAGGTATTCAGACAGTGCCTCCTGTGTTCAGGTTGTTGCAGCTGGCTTTTGGAAAACAGTTATGTAAGCAAATATATATTTGCTAAAATTCTTTGTTGGATCAGTAAGCTGAAGTGGGAGAGTTGCCTGCCACTGAAGTGAAGGGAAGGCAGAAGAAAAGAACCTTAAGGTTTTGTTTTTAAAAAACTTATTCTTGTTTTGAGAATATTTTAGTTGATATATATCCAACAATTTTTTTCCTAACCATTAGCCTATGTTATAAGACTGTGTCTTAAAACCAAAGTCTGTTTTGAAAACAACCATTACTTCTAGAATCAAGGCTGGATGTAAATTTGAGGTTAAACTGAATTTTCTCCTGTCTCATTTAGTGACTATTTACCATTTCTGTGTTAATCCCTGAGTGTGGTTTTATTTATCATAACACTAAGAACTCACTAACCTTATCACATTTACCATCAGTCATTGTTCACACATACTTATGAGCAGAGAAATTCAGAATTTTATGTGCTTTGAAAGATTGGAAGAGGCCGACAATTATAGATTTTAAGATAAGACTTGCTTGCTGTAAGTGTATTAACATGTCTTAGTTTAATAACCCACAAAAGTTGAAGCTTTAGCTCTCTTTGAAAATCATGCTATTCTTTAATGCCGTTTAGGCATTAAGGTATTAAAGCTATCAGAGAGTCATGAATAAAAATCAACACTGTTATCTGCTACAGATGCTCTGTGACCCCCAAAGTAACATTACAAGGTGGTTAGGAGCCCACATTCCTTATTGCTGACACTGTAGCCAGTCCCAAAGTCTCTATTAGAAGACAGAGGGTTGAGCTGGGTCACCCTCCAAATCCCTAGATTCCCCCTAGCTTTAGGTGTGACAACTGGGTCAGTTGTGGTCCACACAGTGGAAATGTCTATAATACATATTTATTTATTCCAAGGACCACTGAAGGGCATTTCCCCCCATATATTGATTTTCCTCTTAATTTTTATTTTTTGAGAACTTCCCCTTCTAGCTTTGCTAGATTTCAGCTCCAGCATTCCCAAGTCCCAAACTTCATCCATCATGAGATGGACCCCCAACCGTTCTCTTTAAGACTCGCTTTCAGAGCAAGATAAATGCCTTTTTTCCAAAAGAAACCTCCACCCTCTTCCAAGTTCAAGATTAGCAAAAGGAATTGTTTCTGAGTTAGTTCATTTGGGGGGAGGGGGTGTTTGAATCGTGGATGTGATTAATGATCACAGTTACAAATACTTCCCAATTTGATACCATTATATTTTTGTTTATTTTTCATTATAACAAGTATTAATGCAATGTAAAAAAGTAATATTCACTTAATTTTTTCCACGTAATTTAATGGGAAAGAAGAACTCAAGATATACAGTAAGTGCCTAGAACAAAGTATGCACTTAATAGATATCTGTGCATACTTTGTCTTTGAGGCAATCAGTTCATATTCCCACTGCCTTCTCTGAACCCCACACACCTCCTAGGTAGAGAGAATTTGGTAGCCATTATTGGCTTCCTTTCTGCCAGGTTAGACTGGGATAGATTCAACAGTCAGCCGAGATCCGCGGGGACTTTTAAGCTGTCTTCCTTCTGACACCGTGGGCACTTTACCTTACTTAATATCTGTTTAGCTTTGAGTCATTAGCTACATGGGAAAGGAAAGATGACAGTCCCATGCAAAACAGGGCTTCATCAGTTTCAGATTGCAATGTGTTTGCTTGTTCTGCAGAGTGGAGCCCAAATCCATTTTTCACCTTCGGTCCCTTGATGCAACATATTCTCAGAATTGCAGGGCTCGCACAGTATATGATTGACTGTTTCCCCTGCTTCTAATGAGAAAGTTTAAAATCCACAAGGAGTGCTCCATGGAAGTGCTAATGATTTGTTTTCCTCAAAGTTTCCAATTGCCCAGTTGGAAAATCACAAACAGGTCATTTTAATTTCCCTCAAAGCCTAAAAAAGCTCCCCTTCCCTCCCTTCCACCACCTCTTCAGTAGTTGTCTGGTGACTAAAATAACTGGGTATTTCTAAAACATTTCTGTGCACCTGGGGATGCAGGAGAGTATAATAAGAGGTTAAAAAAAGAGCAAAGAAACAAATAAACCCTTCCTTTAGCATCAGAGACACATTTTCAGCTTATTAGAGAGCTGACTACTGTTTAAAGAACTCTATGTTTAAGCGATGGCTTTGGATGATTTTTTTAAAAAGAAAAAATATTGAGGATCTTTTATTGCTATCTGTTTCAATGTAATTCATGAGCGCTTTTGCTAAGAGCTGTACAGAAATCCTCCCCCAAACCTGCTCAAAATGGGAAAAAAAAATCGAATTGTGAGGTTCAGAACTTGAAGAATTGAGGCAACTAGAACTCCACATTCTTTGAAGTCTCCAAGTCTCCTGCCTGCTTATTAAAAATGACAGGCTAAAAAAATAGTATTAGAAACAGACTAAAATTAAATCTTTTCAGTCTTGTGATTCTCTGACAAATATGAATTTGAAACCCAGATAGGTAGTTCAAAACAGAAGAGTTAAATTAACCAATAAACAACTTCCTTAAAACTGGTCTTGCTAACCCAAAAAGTACAAATATAGAGTAGAGGAGAAGGCCAGCAGCCCACGGATAATCCAGGTCCTCCAAGAGGCCCTGACAGTGTAAATGAGCACCAGCCTGCACTGAACAAATTCACAACAAAACTGCTCTGCCCATGTAACCGTGCAGAGTTCTGGAGAAGCAGCTCTTGACCCAAACTCTGTGGACCCCAGACACGATATCATGTGTCCCCCTCATCGGAGGCAAGATGAGGACTGACTGGCAGGCAGAGTGTTTCTCAGCCACGTCACCTCCTCTGTCCCACAGCCTACCTGTGACACTTCTCTGGTGGACTGCAGTTTGCTTCACTTTTGGCCCTTCTCTATGTCAGCAGAAAGAGGGGGAATAAGGAAATTCCCTGTTATGCCCTACAGTGCTTCCTGGCAAGCCCCATCCATGCACATGGGATGAAGCAGAGGAGAACGAAGGCAGAGCATTCACCACCAGCAAGTACAAAAGGCTGAGACCAGTATGGGAGTGAGTATGAAAGGGGTGTTGGTTCATGCAAGGGTGTCCTATGTTTCCAGGTAAGTCACTTCTACCTGGAAAATCCATCTGTCCATGTGAAACCAGAGGCCTGAAAAGCCTCAGGAAGCAGAGGGATTCCAAAAGGATTAGGACTTGGGTGTCAACACAGATACTCATTACAGGAAACCCACATGGACATACATCATGAAGGCATTTATTAAACTGCCAGTGAATGGAGAGAGAGAGAGAGAGAGAGAGAGAGAGAGAGAGAGAGAGAGAGAGAGAGAGAGAGAGAGAGAGAAGAAGAAGAAGAAGAAGAAGAAGAAGAAGAAGAAGAAGAAGAAGAAGAAGAAGAAGAAGAAGAAGAAGGAGAAGGAGAAGCAGAAGGAGAAGCAGAAGGAGAAGAAGCAGAAGCAGCAGCAGCAGCTGAACAATATCAACCAGGTTAAAAAGAAAAAGGAAACAGACAGATAGGCATTATCTTTTGGTGTAACTGCAAAATATAGGCTCTTATGAAATGGGAATGATTTGCTTCAAAGATGGAACTGAGCTGTTACAGAATCAAAGGGCAAGATGCAATCTTGAGAAATTACTAGGTAGAGTCCACCTGCATTCAGGTGTGACCATGTACAGATTAGCTTAGTAAGTTAAGGCTAGCACCACTAATGTCTGGCCATGGCTTTTCAAAGTCTGCAGTGTGAAAACTTACCTTTTCAACAGCAAATGTTCTTATTACATATTCTGCCAGTAGTTCTGTTTCTATTAAGGTGACTTTAATATCTTTATATATCTCTGTATCATCTGGCCAGTATTTGCAGCATTTGACCTTTAGAAAACAAAAAAAGAAATAAAGGGTTTAGAATTTATTTTGTAGTTTCCCAAATGATGGGTCACAGAATGATTTACAGAATAAAATTTGCATGAAGACCAGAAGTTAAGCTGCACACTACAGAGCAAGGTTTATTTTTTAGATCATGTACACTTTTCTTCTCTCCCCAGAAGAAGACAAAACGTGAGCTATAAAAGGAGCAAAGCTAGGAAAATGGGTCTAAAGTTAACAGATTGTGTTTATACTGCAAATATCCCAGCTACATAACCATTCATTTCCTGTTTATTTCAACTTAGGGGATAGCCTGGAAAAATCAACTATAAAAGGTAGTTTGCAATATTTAGATCCTCTGAATTTTAAATTACTTCCAATTTCAGGAATCGATTGAACATTTTTGAGACAAAGTGAGCAGGAAATCAAAGCCAACAGTAAGATCAGAATTAAAATTTTTTTTTTTTCTGAGAAAGAAAGTAGCCATGTGTTTTTCCCAATTTAGAACTACAGGTTCATTTAAATCCAAGTAAAGTCAATACACAAACCTTGGCAAAATCTGAACACAGTCTTTCCATATTATTGGAAGCCTCTAATCTAAGGATTTTTCAGGTGGAAGGAATTTGTTAGATTTGACTTCTCCAAGTAAGTTTTTTTGGGTCCTATAGCTCTTGCAGACTTCAGCAAAAGCTTGGGATGAGGAAAGAGCAGGAGGAGTCAGCAGGAAATCAAAGCCACCAATCAGATTAGATTTTTTTTCCCCTGAAAAAGGAAGTAATTGTGTGGTTTTCCCAACTTAGAGTTACAGTCGTTCAAGTGTCCTCGGGGCTCCGTCTGAGCCTCTGCGAGTCTGTGTTGCATTCCTGGCAGCTTCATCCATGCTTGTCACCACTTCTGTGCCTCTGGCCCCACTCTCCAAGTGCTGAATTCCATTTCTAACCTCTTTTGTAGGCATCTCTCTCGGGGTCCTGCCAGCAACTCAAAGGCAATATGTCTAAAAGAGAATTCTTTGTCCCCCATCAACTACACTCATGATTCCCTATGTTAATGATGCTTCATTTCCCCAGTTACCCAGGCACAAAATCAGTGATCTGTCTCTAAGACCCAACTGCGAGGTGTAAGACATTTTTGAAATTCCTCTCCAATATGTTTTCCAACGTTTTTTCCCCTTTGCCATAATTTTGGTTTAGGATTTGGCAACTTTATGCATGAACATTCTATTCATAACAGCACCAGGAAAAACCCGCCAGAGGGTACAGCCAATGGCATTTACTTGCTCTGCTCAATAAGCGTCTATTTCCAATAGAAATTACATGTAATAGAAGTTGCACGTGGGCCTAGCATGTAAGGTACTTTTTCCTTTGGCTACAACTACTGGGCTTATCCTTAACTTTTACTACTCTCCTTTCTAGCCACTATGTTCAGAGAGAAGTAATTTGCATGAACCCCAAACAGACTTCATGATCCAGATTCCTATCCATGCCATTCCTTCCGTTTAGAATGTTCTGCTCACACCCATACTCCCAGCTGAAAATTTTATCCTTTCTTCAAAGATTATCTCAAATGCCACACCCCTTCAAAGTCTAGATGTGAGTGTCTCTCTTTTTGGTCCTCTGATGAAATGTGCATATTTTACTAGAATGCTTGATACTTGCCTATTACATGCCACCATGTAAAGGCATCTTATTGCTTATTTCTGTAAATCCTGCAATATCTCACATCGTGTCCCATAGACACCGGATATCAATAGACAGGTGTAGAACTGAATTTTATGGAGACAATGATAAAGTCAGTGTAGGAAGAAAATCCCAGATTGGGGAAGTTTACAAAAAGAAATATGGACTGAGGTGACCTCTCCCAGCATGCCAAGCACCTTGGTACTCTAATGCTTCCAGAGTGGTACCTGCTGGCTGTTATCTTAGCCGCTTCCTATGAAACTTCCTGGCTGCTGATTCAGTGAGCTTTTAGATAGGCCTTACTACCTTTACTTGGCAAGAGGTAGGCCAGACACATCAGGAGTTGCAGATATAGTGCAGCAGAAGACAAAGATAGTCTCTGCCTTCAATAAATTTTTAGTTCCCATTTTTAGACCCCCCCCGCTCCACCCCCCACAATGGGAACATAATCTGTGACTTTACAAAGTATAAATACTTACACACATTATGGTTTCCCCATAATATTTCAAAGACTTACATCTCAAATATTCCAGTATACGAGGGAGCTATAGCCAGGAGAGCCCGAGGTTGCCCAAGGACCAGCCACGCCCGTATGGGTCAGATGCCACCGTTTTCTCCGCAAAGAGAGTGAACTACGGAAAGAAACCTGATCTGCTCTAACACCCTTGGTCAGATGCTAACTCAGGCTGCTGCCAGTTGCTCTATGATGAGCAGTAATTAGGAGAAAGGGATCCTTGGGGTTGCTTCCTTCCAGAATGAGTTTGTGGACAGAGCCTTCTCCTGTGCAGAGCACCTGTGCAGGCGGACCCAGAAGAGGCGGACCAGCCACTTCCAACCCCACCCTCTCCATCTCCTCTCCAGGAACATCCTGAAATGGTGCGCCGCATCTGTTTTTAGCCTACAAAAACCTTTCTAAATTGGGTTCCTTTTAGTATCTTTTCAACTGCTTGGATTTGTGTCAAGTTATAATTTTGCTTTTTAAAAAGAAAAAGAGGAGGAGAAGAGGAGAAGGAGAAGAGGAGGAGGAGGAGGAGCAGGAGAAGGAGGAGGAGGAAAGTATGCTTCTTTCTGGATGCAGACTTTCCATGCCTGGCTGTGAAGACCAGTGGTTTTGTGGCACCTGTAGGAGCAGAACCAGACACTCCTCTCCTCAGATGGAGGCTGGGCTTGACTGCCTTCTGCAGCCCAGTGTTACCTGCACAAAGTCCAGGGGAGGCTGTGCCTCCACACACCCTAATCCTAAGGCAGCAGATTTCAGCCCTGAAGGGAGGCTCTGACCAGGTTCAGTAGCGGGGTACCCCAGAGCTGGGTCTATTGAGGCACCTGCTACCCATCCCTGCTGTGTGCCTCCCAAAGGGAGGCTGCAGGGTAGCAGGATGTGGTCCCTGCCTCCAAAGGGGTCACTGTTGGCTTTAACATGCACAAACATGAAACAGCACAGAAAGCAGAGTAACTGCAGGATTTCTGGCCTGAAAAAGTTCTCCAAGGCGGGTCATTTTAAACGGCAGCCCAGATGACCCTCAGGTACAGTAAGGTCAGATGACCCCTGGCAGGCTGGAGCTGGAGCTCCCCAGGCTGCAGCACATAACTGTGACCTTCAGGGCATTCTGACTGGCTAGAGCTGTGGTTGTCAGGCTTCAGCAGGCAGCAGAATGTCCTGCAGGGTGTTACCACACCCCAGTGCCCACTCCAGGAGCACAGATTCGGTAGGTCTGAGGATGTGGGGCCCTGGGTTTGCATTTCAACCCAGCTGCAAGGTGATGCCGCTGATCTTCGGACCTCACTTTGAATAGCAAGGACTCAGACAACACAACTGGACTGCAGAGTCTGGCCCTCCCTAAGGCTGATGTGAGCTCAGGCAAGTTACTCAGGTTTGCTTAAGGCTCTTCTTCTGTAAAGAGGGGGTGATTTTAGTTTTTACCTCAAAGTGATCTATGATTAAGTCAGGGGTTATGAAATTTGTCTGCACGCAGAATAACATAGGTGTATGGGTGGGAGTATCCAAAGTCCAGGACACACGCTAGGCCAATTAAATCATACGTTCTTGAGTGAGACAGAGGTGTCCATAGTTTCTTGTAGCTCCTCAGGCGACTCCCAAGAACAGATGAGTTTGGGAACTACTGGATCAAGGGACATGATGCAATTAAAACATCTGCCCCAGTGTAAGTGCTCACACAATGGACATTCTCATTCTTATTAAAGAATAACTTTGTGATTGGGACTCTAGGTGGCCATAGAACTTCAGAAGGCTAGGGGCCACTTAGGGGGTGGAGACATGGAGCAGGGTTTTCTGGAGAAGGAAGAGGTTAACTGAGCATTGCAAACTGTGCATGGTTTATGGGAGAGGAGGGACCACAACTGAAAATAAAACAAAGGGAAACTCCAACTTTCCCTCTAAACCAGTCGGCAAACTTGCTTGCTAGCCACATGCGGCTCTTTGGCCCCTTGAGTGTGGCTCTTCCACAAAATACCACGGCCTGGGTGAGTCTATTTTGAAGAAGTGGCGTTAGAAGAAGTTTATGTTAAAAAAAAATTGGCTCTCAAAAGAAATTTCAATCGTTGTACTGTTGATATTGGGCTCTGTTAACTAATGAGTTTGCCGACCACTGGGTTAAACCTCTTTCCTGCAAACCTTCCAGGGGCTGAGAAGACTGGGGAGAGTGGCCAGAAGGTCTGTTCTCCCATTAGGGAGGTTTGAAGAGCATCCAGCAGAAATTAGGAAGTGGTGTTTGCGATTTGTGGGGAGGAAATTCATATCAAGTGAAGCTGTGAGGCATCACAGAGACAGTCAGTTTCCAAACACTCGTTTTCAAGGTCATGACAACTGCCACATATTAGCCTTTAATGCTTGGATTTCACCACTTGGAATCACTGCATTTGCACAACCGTGGCCTCCTTGAGTGGCTCAGGGAGCCAAGGGACAGGCTGAGAAAGGAGAGCTGGCTCTGGCCAGGGCTGCTCATCATCCCCTTCATTCCTTCCATTTCCCCAGGTCCTCAAATGAAAAACCGAAAACAGGACCAGGGAGGGTGAGTGACTTGATCAGGGAATAAATTACTAGTGTGGAAGGTGAGGTTGCAGGGCCAGGCATGGCTCGGAGCACTAGGCATTTTGGGAGGATGGCACTCAAGGTGTATCATCCTTTCTGCAATCTTGCTAGGTCTGGCTTCAGGAACAGATGCTAAGCAGGAAGCCTTAAAATGACTTTAGCTTCCTCGCCTTTTTGGGGGTGAGAGACAGTATGTGGGGTGGGGGAGAGAGAAGAGTAGAAGCACAGTGAAACCATCATTCATTTTTTTTTGTCACTGGTCACAAATTGCTGTTTCTGCT